ATTGTAACACTTGGTACTTCTTGAACTCATGATATTCCTTGTGACACTCGTATTATTGTACTTAGAGCCACTTTGGTTCATTTTGGAATATTGATTGAGGTGGTATCATAATGGTAAAATAAGATTGAACCGAAAACATTGGTTCAGTAAATTATCCCATGAGTAGTCTTCACTCTTTTGCCCTTTTCTCTTTCCATACTTTGAATTTGGATGTGATGCTAAAACTATTGGAAAGCTTGTTTCAGGAGCTTCAATTTGGACATAAGACTGACTTAAAACAGAGTTCGAACGAGAGAGTTATACCCGTTTGAAATTTGAGTATCTGTGTTAGAAGCAAGTTCGCTCGAGCGAAGGAAGTTGCTCTTAAGCGGTCTACGCGAATTTCAAAGATTCTGGGAGCTTCTTTTCTCTGCTCGAGCCAAGCTTTGTTTGCTTGAGCGGTCAAGTTGATATCAGGTACTATAAAGTGAGTTTTTGGCCCAAAATCTTTATTCTTTCTTCCTTTTTTCTCTCCCTCTCCTCAATATCGAAACCCTAGAGCCCCGAACACTTGATTTTTCCAATTTTACCCTTTGAACCACCCTAGATCCGTCAAGGAGGTTGAAAGGAAAGCTTGGATCAAGAGTTCTACCGATTATTTCATAATTTTTCCAAAGTTTCAAGTGGGTTCTCATCTTTAACTTCCAATCTTGAGGTAGGAGTGTCTTTAACCTGTTATATATTTGATTTGAGACCCACATATGGTAATTTCATTAGATATTCATCCCTATATATATATATGTATGTGTGTATATGTGCATGGATTGTGTTGGTTAATAAATGATTTGGAAGGATGTGGTCAATACTTCATGATTTTTGGATGGAATGATGTCTATTATTGATGATTTTCGTTGTCGATAGTCCTTAAATCATAAAAGAGAGAAAACCCTAAATTTCCCATAAACCCTAGTTTTGAGATTTCTTCAATAAAGAGGGGTTTTGCTCAATTGGTTTCAACAACATAAAATTGAATGTATTTACTTAACTTTAAGGTTGAAATGTTAGATTTGAAGATTTTCTTTATATACACTTTTAGTTGGTAAAGGTTATTAATGAGGTATCCAACATTATGGATGTGTAAAGTAGTGAATTGTTGTAAATTGAAATCATTGTAGGAAAACTTGAAGATTTATAAATTCATGTATCATATGCATTCCAAATTTCTCTTTTGATACTATGATGAAGTGATTGTTGAAAATTAGAAGGGGGTAAATAGTCTATGAGTCTGGGTAGTGAGTCGGGTTGGTTTTTGAGTTGTGTAATGTAATTGGTACGCACGCAGAGAGTCAAGGTGCTCAATTGCCCTGTCTGCGCATATCGCCAAACAAATGTGGAAAAATGTTTTTGGGTGTCCACGAGCCTGCCATTTTAGGAGTTGGCAAATATGGAAAAATGGTTTTTGGATGTCCACGATCTCGCCGTTTCAGGAGTTGGCAAATGTGAAAAAATATGGTTTTTGAAAAATGGTTTTGGGTGTTCACGTCCCCACCTTTTTTGGAGCTGGCAAATGCGAATGGGAAAAATGTTTTTGGGTGTCCATCGCCCTGCCGTTTCTAGAGCCGGCAAATGTGAAACTATTTTCAGTAAACAAAACTATATCTATATATGTATGCTTTGATTTTTGGCTCATACTTGGGATGTCATAGTATATTTACCACCGGTGGATAATGTAGAAAGATTGAGCAAATTTCATGCATTGCATGTTCTCACTCACGTACACAAACACTTATATGCATCTTCCTTTCTATTTTTCAAATGTTTTCATTGCATGATTATGTGTCTTTCAATTAATTATATAACTTGTTAAAATCATTACCTACTGAGCCTTTGCTCACCCCAAAGCTAACCAATCTCAGGAAATGAAGACTAAGCATCTCCTAAGAGATTTCTTGAGAAGAAAAAAAACCCTTTTGGAAGGTGAAACCTTTTGTTGAAATCTTTTGTGTTCAAGACTAAGGTTGTATTGTAATTGGATGTCAGTTTTATGCTAGTGTAACGAGGAACACATTTTTGAAGGAAGTTGACTTGCGATTTGTCTTATTGTACATTTTCTTACTTTTGAACTATTTTGTTTTGTTTATGGATGTAATGAGATGATATTGTAAATCTTAGGGGATAGTTTAAAAGGGAAGGAAATGTATTGAATGTAATTTCAGTATTATTGTCTCTATCTGTATGGTGGGTGTTGTATGGCGGGAATGTTCAAGTGAACAAGTTTTTGGAGGTGTTTTCCCAAGGCGTACAATTGTACTTGCATTGTTGCAATGAATAGAAGCATAATCCTTCCAAGAAAAAAAAATATAAAATATATTTTTTAAAAAAAATGAAACTGGAAATGCTTGGTAATGGGTAATTAAAAAAATTAAACATGTTCATCCTTGGGTTATCGAAAATGTATCTTTTATTTGACAGTGGGTTACCAGACATATATTTTTTGTTCGGCAATGTGATTCCAGACTATTTTATTTTGTTCGATGCTAACACACCAAACAAAAGTCGAAGAACTCTCTCAAAAAACAAAACGAAAACCTACTAAACAAATAAAAAAAACTCACCATTTCACTTTTTTGATGGTTCTTCATCATCGTTTCTTCATCCACTACTTTCTTCTATGATCAAAACACTATGATTCTCACTTTTTGAAAAGAGATATGCAGTAGAGAAGAAAAATTAAGAAGGGAAGTAAAGCAATAAGGATTGAAGAGCAACGGGTGATGATAAAATATATTTAATTTTAGTCTTTTGTCCTTAAAAGTAATATATAGAGGGTGTAAAAAGGTAAACTAGTGGTGTAAGTAGAATTACTCAATACGAGTTTTTTCCTGTAGTTTGAAAAATTATAAATACCCCTTTATCAAAATTTATTATTTAACATAATTAACTATAAAAAAAATTCCTAACGGTTCTCTTATACAATGATAAAATTACCTGAATTCTTAATTGAAATAAATTTTTAACATCATTAAAAATTGTTAATTGACTTGATAGTTTATTAATAAAAGGGTCATTTGTTATGAAATTATAAACTTCAAGGGGTGGGATGTAGAACTATAGAGGGCAAATTGTATTTTAACCAAACCTATTTGTAATTTACCCAATTTTTAAAGTTCAATGTTTCTTTATGTTTTCTAGTTTTTTTTTTTTTTTTGGCATACACTGTCTCTTAGAGCTTCATGATGTTGAGGTGTTTTGTGAGGTTTAAACCAGTGATGTAACAAAATAAGAGTTTTAGAATTCCTTTCTGATTAAAAACGATCAGTTGTTGGAAGCGATATTAAGAACACTCTTGGACATTTATTAACAATGAAATTATAAACTTCAAGGGGTGGGATGTAGAACTATAGAGGGCAAATTGTATTTTAACCAAACCTATTTGTAATTTACCCAATTTTTAAAGTTCAATGTTTCTTTATGTTTTCTAGTTTTTTTTTTTTTTTTGGCATACACTGTCTCTTAGAGCTTCATGATGTTGAGGTGTCTTGTGAGGTTTAAACCAGTGATGCAACAAAATAAGAGTTTTAGAATTCCTTTCTGATTAAAAACGATTAGTTGTTGGAAACGATATTAAGAACACTCTTGGACATTTATTAACAATACCTTTCAACACCAGGCTATTTGCTGGTACTCTCATTCTAGATGATTAAACCACTAGTAATTTGATTTCCATGTTCAGTTGTGTTCAGAATCAAGTAAAAACTGTCATTTTTTTGCTTAATAAAACAACACCCAAGTGGTATATAATTGTGCAAGTTTTACAATCTATAAAATCCTCTTCATTTTATTGATTTTGTTATTTATATGTAAGAGAATGAATGTGCTTTTGCCTATGTAAATTTTCTTCATTGATTCATGATGCTATGGCAGACATGTAAGTTATGTTTGGATCCGAAAATTGTGAATGAAAAAAAAAGGGTAAGAATTTTTGAAAAAAAAATTTACTTTTATTTCATTCACTTATCTTTTCTCTCTACCAATATTGAAATGTGGCAATAAGAGTTTGTTCTTTATAGTGTTTACTCTTTTCATATTGTTCTGTTGTGCAAATTTAAGTTATGTTGTTACTTTTCAGAATCTATTTGTTGTCTAGTGTAGGTTTTAATTGTTGATCTTTCCTATGTTGTTATAATGATTGGTCGTTGCTAAAAGCAATGAAAATTGAGCACATTTTAGGTTTGTAGCTAGCACAACAGTTCATTTGAGCACATTTGTGAAAATTGAGCACCTTGGGTTGGGGTAAAACAACAATGAGTGGTTGCTTTAAGGACGCCAACCTGTTGAGAGTACGGTGCTGGCCAAGATGGAGCTGGTATACTTTCTTGGGGCTTGCCTTGCTTCATCGTCTGTAAACTAGGCTAGTGTTAGAAAAGTAACCAACCCAACCTCTTTAACTTTCTAAATAAGCACAATACAGTATGATGGTCATTTGTTGCTCCATAGAATCACATGACAACACTGTTATAATTTAATTTTTTTTATTGATTTAATCTTCTGGGAGTTGAGTTTAAGGTGCCGTACACAAATAGGAGTCGCATGTAATTCGGCTAGTGATAGCTTTACCCTCGATATAAGACTGCCGAGAAGATGAGTGAAGTGGGCCAACCGTGGCCAAATAGAACTATATTGAGGACCGAATAGGCCATAAATTCTACCAAATGATTGGGAATCTAGCTGTCAGGCAGGGTGTCCATAATCAGAAAATAGGCCCCAAAAGAGTAATATAAAAGAAGAGGAGCATCAGCCAGAAAGGAGGTATGTAAGAAAAAGATTACTTGAGAGATAAGAAAGACTTGAGTGCATACTAACTTGCCCGTCAGAGTGCTAATTCCGCCACCCCCGACCTGTTTGTTCATCTCCATTTTAGGTACAAACTCAAGGATCGAGGGAGTCTATTGGGACCAAAGGGTATTTCCAAACCACATCTCCACAATTGGTGCCATCTATGGGAATACTCAAACACATTCATGGAAGACATAACAGATGATCTTCCACTCACTGCTAATGATGTTACACTAAGAGATGATGTTACCCCAAGAACCATGCTTAGTCCGAAGAATATCACTGCGCAAAGAGCCCTAAACTTTGACCCAATGACTCAAACTTCATCTTCAACCTTGATGCAGGAAACCATGCAGACGATCATGAATCAAGCAAAACGAAACGAACAACATCTGGAAGACATGGCGGCTGAGAAAGAACGTTTGCGTAAGGAGTTGGCCCTTAAGTTAGCCAAATCTCAACCAACCGCACCACGCCATGACCGGGGTCGTTCGCCAAAGAAGAACTATGATCGACAGCGTCGACATCAAAAATCTGGTAGTAGTAGCACTTTCGACTCGTCATCCAAGAACCCAGGAAGAAGGGACGAGCTGACATGTCCAGCTCATCCGAAGGAAGTTCGTACATACGGCATAGGCAGTGGAAGGGAAATGATGGTTCGGATGAAGACAAACATGATCTTTTTATACAACACATTGCAAAGGCTGTATTGCCTAAAAATTTCAAAGCACCAGCGTTCACCTTGTATGACGGTAAGTCAGACCCTACGGATCACATTCGTTATTACAAGCAAGCGATGATGTTGCACGCTAATGATGAAGCCCTCATGTGTCGAATATTTCCAAGCAGCTTGGGACCATTAGCTGTCAGATGGTATTATAAACTGGAGCCGACATCAATAAAAAGTTTTTATTAGCTCCAAAAGTCCTTCAGGGCAAGATTCATCACCAACGAGGTTCAGCCAAAGCAAGCTAACTCTCTCTGGGTGATGCAAATTAAACCAGAAGATACCCTCCATGAGTATTCAGCGCGCTACTGGGAGTGTTTCAACTTGGTGGATGATGCTTGCAATGATTCCATGGCCATTTCTGCCTTCAAAATGAGATTACATCCTGATAGTCCTCTTCGAAGCTTGTTGACCAGACGGCCTCCCAAAACAGTCTGGGCGCTGATGAAAAAAGTTGAGGAATATTACAAGGTGAAAGATGATGCCCTTCACGTCAAGGCCGGACAAAAAGCCTTGAAGTCAGCCCTATCTAGTCTGGTTCAGTCGATAAACGCCGTACCACCAAGTAGCCCTGAACTGCAGCGCCGATCAAAGCGTGAAAATCGACGGGGTTCGCGTCAGTCAAACAAACAGTGTTCACGCCATTTGAACGAACAATATCAAGTGGATAGCAGGCACCCAAGGCATTCGAACAAGAAGTACATGGAATTGGCAGAACCAATCAGCAAGATCCTATCTAAAGTCCAGCATCTACCGTTCTTTAAATGGCCATCCAAGATGATTAGACCCCCTAATACTAGACGAAGGGATAGGCGGTGTGAATATCACAAGGATCATGGCCATGAGACATACAGTTGTTATGCACTAAAGGACCATCTGGAGGAGTTGGTGCAAGATGGCCGACCGGCACAACACGTCCAAAAGGGCAATCCCCCAACCACAGTGGCTCTATACCCGAATTCCCCTCCACTTGGTATAATTCACATGATATACAGTCTACTGCCGCTAACTCAAGTACATACGATCCAATTACAACCCAGTTTTCCCAAGCCGTACACACCATCCAAACGGCCTCATGAGCCTGGCAAAATTAGCTTCGACGACATCGATCTTGAAGGGGTAACGCTCCCCCACGATGATGCCCTCGTTATCGAGTTGCACATAAACATATTTGCTGTGGAACACGTTCTAATCGATCAAGGGAGCACTTCGGAGATAATGTATCACAAGACATTCATTAAACTCGGCTTTAATAACTCGTACTTGCTGCTGGCTGAGTATCCTATGTTCAGTTTCAACGCTAATCCCGAGTACCCTCTAGGCAAGATCATGCTGCCAGTGCATGCAGGTACCAAATCAGTGGATGTAGAATTTCTGGTCATCAAACTTCCATCACCATACAATCTCATCATGGGAAAGACCTAGTTACATGTGATATAGGCAGTACTGAGTACCTACCACCAGTTGCTCCGTTTTCCAACACAATATGGCATCGAACAAATTCGCGATTCTTAAAAATTGGCGAAGGCCTGCTATCTTATTGCTTCGACAAGGAAGTTGAAGGAGCTGGAAATGAACTCAATTGAAGTTCTGGATCGCGAAAGCCTCGAGGACGTAGGTAAAACCCCTAGTGATAAGGCAACTGAAGACCTCGATCGGATCAGTATCAAAGGGGAACCTGACAAATTCTTCATGATCGACACCTCTCTGAACGCAGCTGAACAACAAGAGTTGATCTCCTTCTTACTCGACAACATCGACGTATTTTCCTGAACGGCGTATGAAATGCTAGGGGTGGATCCAAGCATAGCCCAGCATTGTTTAAACGTTGACCCAAAAATTAAACCAATTATTCAGAAAAGTCGTCGGTCGGCCGCAGACCATACTTCAGCCGTTGTTAACGAAGTCGATAGGCTGTTAGAAGCCGGGGCAATTCATGAAGTAATTTATCCTACCTGGTTGTCCAATACCGTGGTAGTCAAGAAGAAAAACGTATCTTGGTGTGTTTGTGTGGATTTCACAGACTTGAATAGGGCCTTCCCTAAGGATTGCTTTCCTCTTCCCCGAATTGACCAACTTATAGATGCAACTGTGCATCACCAACGCATAAGTTTCTTGGATGCTTATCGGGGTTACCACCAAATTGCCATGCATCCGGAGGACCAAGAAAAGATCGCATTCCTCACCCCACGGGAAACCTATTGCTACAAGGTCATGTCGTTGTAGACCACCCCGAACTCGGCTCCGCGCGCGAGGGCGCGAATTGCTGTTCTTAGCTACTACAGTTCAGACTCTTGTCACGGTTCTGAATCTAATCTCACAAAGTGCAATGTAAGACTGATAAATCACCAAAGAGTCCAAATCCAGCAAATCGTTTTGGAAAATCGATTTTAATCAAAAAGCGCCAAACATGGACTGCTTTGCCAGATTTCAGAGTCGCCACTTAAATATTTTGTTTTGGGAAATTTAGGAAATCCTGACTCATGCCTAAGGCTACATGTCCGTCATCACCAAAGGTGCCTCGGCTCGGGAACTTGGGTACGAGAGGGGAAGGTCCTAAAATGAGCACCCCCGCTCGCCCGATCAAAGGATCGGCCTCTACTAACATGATATGTTGTTTTTGAAAACACACGTGTTCTTATTCTGATTTATTAGACTAGCTTGCTATGTGATGCGCACAGCATACAAGTATAGACCAAATCGTTTAAGTTAGAACAAACATCTCGTGTTTGTTTTTCGAAAATGGTTTGAAGTTGCTACTCGCAAGTAGGCAAAAACGCAGATTTGCCACTCTCAAGTGGGCTTAGAAAACAACATGATTTGCCACCCTCAAGTGGGCTTTAAAATGCACATTTTGATGAATTGTTCCAATTCAAGTAATGAAGCCTTCATCCACAGGCATTCATGCAGTTAAACACTTAAGCAATTAGCCTCATGGCAAGCATGCTATCATGGCAGTCACTTACACACATGCAAGGATGCTAAAGCATAAACGCTCACAGTGTACTCCGAGCCAAAACAAAAGCTAGTTAGGATGCTAAAGCATAAACACTCACAGTGTACTTCGAGCCAAAACAAAAGCTAGTTAGTAATCAATGCATGATCCTAGCTATGATAAGATGCCTAATGCAACACATGCAAAAATGCAACTAAAATAGGCTCGGCTATTCTAAGATGGCATATGAATGCAACACTCGATAACATGCTTTGAAACACGTATTCAAGTAAGTATTGAAATTCAATGCGGTTTGAATGATGCGCCGAGCCCGGTGCATGCAAGATGAATGAATGATGCACGCATGCAAATATAAGTATGCTAATTGAAACATGCCCTAATCTAGCCACTGAAAGCGGATAAATAAAAGGGAGAAAGAAATGGGGTTGGAAGACATGCATCACACACACGCACACTTATTACAACATTTTCCCTCTTGACGGAGGGTCCAAATAAATCAATTAACTAGCTACGCTAAGCTAATTAATTACAAACCGAAACTAATTAACTAACAAGTTAACAAATTACAAACGCAAATGAATAGCTAAGTGCATTAACTACTTAAGTACAAAACCAACTAGTTAACTAGCTAAGCAAAGCAGTTAAAAGGAACCTCGGGGCAAGCGGTGTATCCATGCTCGGTCAGCTTCGCTCAGAAATCCACTACCGTGCCTCGTGATGCCTCTGTTTGCACTCTTTTGGACTTCTGAAAATTGTGCCAACTTCCAAGATATTTCTGATCCACCTTAAGAACATTCTGAGAGATGGTCGGCCAAGAGGAATGGCCATCGGCCAGAGTTTATGGCCATTGGCCAATTGTGATAGCCGATCGGCAGTTTGGGTGGCCGGTCGGTAGCTTTGATTGCCGGTCGGCCACTGCTTCCTGTAATTTCTCCTTTTGCTGCAACAGAGCACAAACAAAGGCACGGCAGTGTATTTGCAAGGAAATGTGTGTGCAACCACACTCCTTATCATGTCTCAAGCTCAAAGGAGTGTAATGCTCGGCTCTCAAGCCACCAATCACGCATCTTAATGCATGATGGCCAAAGAGTCAAGCTTGCATAATTTCGATGAATGCACAAGTAACACATAGGACTCGATGAGCCTATACCTCTATCATGCTTTGATCAAGAGGGTCGGCGATAAAGAAATGAGGCGCGTTTCATCACTTCAAGTATGAAACGCCCCTCGTTTCTCGTGTTTGGATTAATATCCAATCCAAACACAATGCAAAGACAACATGCAAACAACATGCTATTCTACCAATGCTAGAATGACATGCACAAGATTCTACCATGCAAACAATGCATGCGAGACATGTTCGAAGGCCAAAAACATCAAGGTTAGTATAGAGCCTCATACAAGAGGCATGCAATACAATGCTCCATGGACTTAAACCACATATGGACAGACCTAAGAGGCTCCAAAACAGTGGCCAACACACCAAAACTTAGGCACAAAGGGGCAAGAACATATGCTCATGTGATGGCTCATCAACTAGGCATAAGGGTCAACTTTCAAACACAATGAAGAAGTGATGAATATGAGAGCATGGCATAGGTACAAGCACTGAAATCATGTGAGAAATGATGATGTATCATGCAAGCAACACAAGCCTGGCATGCTAGGGCCCTTAAGCATTAAAGCTAATGAAGTACACATCACTAAGGCTATACAATGCGAAGCTCAATGGACTAAACCAACCCTAAACAGTCCTCATGCATGCCAAAATAATGGCCAAAATGCTCTAAAATGCTAGCATTGAAAGCAATAAAATGCATGCTCATGCATTGGCCCATGAATAAGACATAAAGGTGCAACTTTTAAGAGCACTTACAGAGTGAAAAATATGGAAGTGTGACAACACTATGTGCTCTGAAATATCATTCCAAATGATGTCAAAACATGCACATATGACAAATGAGGCATGCTAGGAGGCTCAAAGCTTAAGGCTAGCAACGGTACTTGCACCATAGCCATATCAAACAAGCTCCAAAGGGGCCAAGGTGACTCAACACAGTCCCAAGGTAGGTCAAAACAAGGCCAAAACATGCATGGAATGAAGCCAAAACAAGCAAGCATGGTAAGCTAAAACACCAAGCATGCAAGGCCAATGAGCATGGTTACACTACAAGTGTAAGAAGCAAATGAGGGATGCTCTAACCAACCAAAAATAGAGTTGTATCATGGCAAAATAAGACCCAAAACACATTAAAATGGTAGCCCAAAAGCTTAGGCAAGATGGCATACATATTGGCTCATGTTTAAGGCATAAATCATGACTCTCCAAAAGCATTGAAAGAGTGAAGCATGAGAGAGTATGACCACACTACACACACTGAAATCACATACCAAATGATGCTAAAACATGCAAATAGCCCAAGAAATACATGCTAGTGATTTGAAAACTCAAAGCTAGTGAGCTAGATTGCACTATGGCTATACAAAGCAAAGCATGCATGACCCAAAACACTTAAAACAGAGCTTAAGCATAGCAAAACATGAGTAAAAGCTTGCTGGAGTGGAGCCAAAAACAAGCTAGAATGGTGGTCCAAAGCATGATGCATGTTAAGGCTATAGGGAGGGTTGCACTACAAGGGTATGAAGCATGCAAGGGGCAATCAATCCAACCCAAAACAGAGTTATATCATGTTAGAATAATGCCTAAAACATGCTAAGATAAAGCCTCAAGGGGGTAGAAAAACATGCTACTTTGATGAGCCATCAACACAAGCAAACAAGATACAAAAGGGGGGGGATGTAGACACCCCATTTTTGACCATCCTCAAGACTTGGACGTCACCGCTTGAACACTCGGTGATCATCCATGTTTGTGTTCGTCTGGAGTTCTCGGAGGTCTTGGTTGCGCGCCTTGCCTCAGGATCTCTCGACTCGACTGTTTTGTGTCTAGTTTTGCACCAAACACTTGTGTTTTGCCTTGGAGAGGCAGGGAATACCTTGTGAGGCATCCCCACACATCACCGGCCATGGCTTGAGGCCACCGGCCAGTGATTTTATGCCATCGGCAATGTATATTGCCGGTCGGCACTCTTTGTTGCCGGTCGGCCATTTATTTTGCCAAAATGGAAATTTTGAATGGCCGATCACTGTTCATCTGCTTTTAGTAGATATTTTGTGCCAGCTGTGATAGCTGGCACCCACTCTGTTCCCCTCCATACACGTGTATGGAGGGATTTCCCTCTTGGATGGCTTGTTTTGGAAGCCTTACAAGAGGGAATTGCCTATAAGAAGAGGCCTCCTCTCTTGGCATTAGGGTTAGACAACATTTTTAGAGAGCTTTGACATTAGGTTTAGGAATTTGTATCTATTCCATCTCTATATTTCCCTCTCTTGTTAGTTTAGTGTGTGTTTGGTCTTACTTTTGTACACAAACACCCACCATTACACCTTTTCTTGGTTATTGAGGGCC